TTTTTTTTTTCGTTTTAGCACCCCTAAAACTCGTCACTGCAAGCACCCATGTATGTCCTAGATGGTGAATGCTTTTCAATGAACAACGTGATTGTAACTGAGCCAGCTCAATACTCCATCTTCATCCGCTCGGGCTCAGTCCAAAACCTTTCGTACAATAGTCGTAGAAATCTCGCGTGCATATTGATCAAGAGCTATGGTCAATAAGATCTTTGAATATGGAAGCTTGCAGTGGATCTTTTAGCTCGATAAAAACATTCATGTTTTAGCAAGAGTCGTCTTCAAATGTTTGCAGGGGAGGCTGGTTCAGGCGGAAACGTCGGCAAACAAGGATATCCTGGACCTAAAGGACAAAAGGGACAAGAGGGGCAGGGGAGGTCTGGAGTCAATTACGTGCGCTGGGGCCGGACAAGGTGTGATGGAGATGGTCAAATTGTGTACACAGGTGAGTGCCCTCTACAGAGAGAAATTGAAGTTTTCGAAAGTACAAGATTATGATACATGCCGTTTTCCATATATCATTCCTGTTGTTTCTATCAATTTGCGAAAAAAAGCTACACCTGCAAGATAAATCATTTCAGTTTTTTATACTATTCCCCTACTCAAACAAAGGCCATATTTAGTAGGGTTCCACTCGATTGATCTAAAGTGCTAACAAAACGAGTCTTCGAGCTCCATTAGTGGACCAAGCTAGATGCAATCATTTTAATTTGGCTCAATGCGCTCGCCAAAATATTCCACACAAGCAAGGATATCTGCTGAATGATATCAAGAAAAACCGAAAAATGTTCAGAATATGAAAAAAAAACTACTGAGTCAGAGCACAGGAGCAAGTAGGTACCGGGCTTTCACACCTAAGATTTCAATTCATCAGTTTTAGCCTTTTCAATACATTCCTTATGTTTCAAGTTGTTGAAGGTAATAATTCAGGTGAAAGAATGACTGGAAAGGCATCATGATTATTGCTGCTTAACGGAAGGCTGCAAGTATCGAAAGAAAAGTTGCTTTGAATGTCTGGAACAAATCAGGATTAGAAGGTTAGGCTACCAACACTAACTTTCACTTGAGTTTAGGGATCATTGGAAGCGGTGCTTATAGTCACCGGGGAGGCGGTGGAAATTACTTGTGCCTTCCTAATGACCCAAAGTACGACAAATATACCCACAGCTGGGAGACAGCGGGCGCCATCTATGGAACTGAGTATGAAGTGAGTTCCTTTAATCCGTTTACAAATAACCTGCATAACCATGACGCACCGTGTGCCGTGTGCTTCGTCAGATCACGTGGTTCGCAACTGATGATGCCCGCAAGGAATGACTGTCCATCCGGCTGGGCTAAAGAGTATCATGGGTATTTGATGACAGCTCATTACGGCCACCAGAGCACGCGAGACTTTATCTGCGTTGATTGGGAGGCTGAGTATGTCCCAGGCTCCCAATCTGATAAAGATGGTGCACTGCTGTATCTTGTTCAAGGAGGTTGTGGCTCGTTACCATGCCCTCCATACGTCTCTGGAAGAGAGCTGACACGCGCTGTGTGTACGAAGTGAGCACTGGCTAAGAATTCTGGTTCTCTTAGTATGATTAGCGATTAGCTTATGACTCAAGTTGTTTACCGTTCACGAAGTAGGAATTGAAGGCCTTAGGAAAGTGTCAATCAGCAATGCGTATATGACAGTAGAATACACGAAAGTAGGAAGTTTAGTGCAAGATTCAGAACTCACCGTCTGAACTCGCCCCATAATTTTGTAGTACCTAGAACTTCAAAGGCATTCATTTTTTATCTGAAGAATATCATAAACAGAATTCAATTCTAGTATGGTTATTCGCCACAAAGTTTTTTATCCTTGGCTACTTTACATAAATAAAGTGTCTAGCTCCTTCTGGGGCTTGAATACTGCAGACCGGAATCAACCGCGAAAACCACGCGATTCGACGTCATACTCAATACCGTAGTTAACCACAATCATTACAATTTCTTCAAATGTGATTGGTGCACTAACTGCTTTATTTTTCACAAACTATTTTGTGGAGTTGTAGTCGGACAGTGTAATTGAACAGTTGGCTGTAATCGGACACCTGTAATCGAACAGTTGAAGCACCCAATCGTACTTAGTCTACTTAGCTAAATCCAACAATCACAGAATTGATCAGAATAACTAGAGCAGCAACCGCTTGTCCCAAGATAAACTGGGGGATTTCGTAAATGGAGGAATTTTTAACTTAACACATTGTGGAAATATTTGTTCAAGATGTCATTTCTTTTTTCGGAAGTTGTGATGGTTATGATTACTAGGGTAACAGGACTTCGTGTCTTCGTGTCTTCGTGTCTTCGTGTCTTCGTGATTAAAAACTTCGGACTACCCTTGCGCGGTCGTCTGATTTTGTCAATCACTCGTATGATTACAGACCGAATTGGACTTCACTCAATCGTATTACCATTATTAATATGCTACAAAATCAGTTCGACCTTTGCTTTTGAATGAAATAGTCCATTAAAAATCCTTAAGGTAAAATTTGCGTTTTGTGTTCAAAACAGCAGAGAAATGATTTGTTAGACTTCACATTCCCGACTGAAATAGATCGTCACGCTATCACTTGGATCATCCATCTCTGAGGGGAATGGTCAAATTTTCATCATGACCTTAAAAACAATGGAGATCTTTCCGGAGAGATTTTAATCATTTCTCAAGACTTTAAGACTCTAACCCAATGCTTTCCTTTTTGTTATAAGCAAAGCATGAACATTTGTCATTTTACATCACACCGTATTTGAGCTTTCCCATAGAACGTCTTTATCATCTCTTCAGTGATCATCTTCTCTCCGATTGCAGCTACATTCCCCTCTATTTGAACGTGCTCCAAAACCATGAAAGCCAAGCACGAAAAGCATAGAGCGCATAGTCTCTGTCAGAGTGGCCTATTGCATTTCGCTTCTTTTATTTTTCTAGATTAATTTTCTTAGTGAAAGCCCAGTTTGGTCGAAACAGCTCACGCTTCCTTTGCAGATGCAATTTATCTTAGGTGGTCTTCGCACACTACATATATGGGTTGATTTAAGTGCACTGCTGCGAGAGAGATGGTGTTACGTCCAATTACTCGCCAAGATAAACTGTAATCAGACATTTGGAAAACATATTATATGTTTCCCAGATGTCTGATTACAGTTTACCGTGAGAGCACAATAATATGATTATTCTAAATCTTCAGTTCATTTCTCAATGTCAGTAGTTAATATCTGATTTTGTTTTTTAAAATCAGAACATAAATTATTTAATTGATCAACAGACAGGTGAAGAGAATTGAAACAGTGGTCTGATAACCAAAGCGAGCCTTTTTTTCCGATTTACGATCAGATTCTCAATAACCATTCTTTTGTAGGTATTTTGAGATGATCAGGAAAGTTCCGGAAAGCTTTAAAACTTAAGAAATCCGATTTCCTCTTCCATTGAGTCATCATAGCCATGTTTCGTCTGGGTTACACTTTGGATATCACATGAAGTTAAAAAATTTCTGGCTCCTCTCTCAGTATGGTAGGAATTTCATCATCACATATACACATACACGGATTTCAGAAATTTATAGTTGGTAGACACGACCAGCTCTGTTTTTCAAACTTAATGGGAAACAACATTGCCTTGCACTTATTGCCTTAAAGCTTAACAAATCACTTACTTGAAATTCAATGCAAACATACGGTAGTATTTCTTTTATTGGGCTTTCTTTCCCTCTTCCTTTTCCTATTTCTTCCTTCTTTTTCCCTATTCCTCAGCTGGTGCGCAAATAATTTTACTTAATGTCTGGTTCCTGGATCGAGTAGTAACAACCGGTTTTGCTTACCATTGAATTTACCTGACTTGAGTAGAGTCACGGATTTAAAAACACACGGAGACAGAATCAATTTCCCCAAGGAGGATTTCATTTTCATAAGTGCCAAGAATCCCTACGCTTTACATGGCGTAAAAATTTTGTTTGAAGTTCATAATTTGAAATGTCTAAATGATAAGACAGCTGCATGCATCTCTTACTGATGGGATAGAACCACTATTTATTCTGATTCATCGCTTGACATTCACACCATGCTATTATATGTAGTTTTGTTGATAAACTGTGGTCGCGTTGAGGTGAATTACTACAGCTCAAAAGTGTGATAAAATTTATTACTTCCGTAACACGATTACTGAAAAATTAACTCAGACCCTGGCGTGTCCCCTTGGAAATCGAAAAATAGCTTGTTTTTAGCATCATTTTAGTCTTTTGTCCTTTTCAAGGTGGATAGATTCTCCCCATTGCCTCTGGTATACTATAATAACAGACGAAGTATTACGGAAAAGCGAAACGGTGAGATCTGAATCCGTTACTTGGTACACACTGCGCATGTCAGCTCTCTACCACGAATGTAAGGGAGGCATGGTAACGAGCCGCAAACCCCTTCCACAAGATACAGCAACGTACCATCTTGATTAGATTGGGAGCCTGGAACATACTCAGCCTCCCTATCAACACAGATAAAATCTCGAGATATCTTGTGATTGTAATGTCCAGTCATCAAATAGCCATGATACTCTTTAGCCCAACCGGTTGGACAATCGTTCCTCGCGGGCATCATCAGTTGCGAACCACGCGATCCGACGTAGCACACGGCGCATGGTGCATCATGGTCATGTACGTTATTTGTAAACGGATTAAAGGAACTCACTTCATACTCAGTTCCATAGATGTAGGCTGAATTCTGCCAGCTGTCACTATACTTATCGTACTTTGGGTGGTTAGGTAAACACAGGTATTTTCCACCGCCACCCTTGTGAGCATAATGTTCGCTTCCAATGAATCCTGATGGTTAATAGGAAAGAGCATAGAGTTTTAGTATTGCATCTTTATTGTCATAAGACTTGCAAAACCTAACTTTTGTTTATTCGGGAAATAGTGCATTCATGAGTCTCAGTAATTTTTTTGGTAGAATCTCCCTTTTGCGTTATTGAACTTTGTACTTTCGGTTTGTGTCACGCGCATATTGGGGCATGCGCAGTAGTAATAGGGAGAAGATTAAACATGATTGTTGCCTGAACACGTTGTACTTTTCTTGCTTAGTTTTGATAACTCGACGTAGAGAGGACCAATGAAACTGGCCGAGACTTCAAAAAGTTATTTTTAACCACGACAAAAATCCCGAATAACGGAGAACTTTTCAGTTTTTCATCTTGAAAGGTGAACGCTAATTTTTTTACCTTGGATGTTACCTACAACTATCTATTTCTGTGTCTCTTATTTGAATAGAGGATCTATGCAAGACAACTAAATTATGCTAATTAATATGTGATATATTGCATAGCACAACACTAACTCAAATTATTTTAACAACACATTTGTCTAAAATCCTTAATTAATAAATCATCGACTCTCTAACACTAAATGTGACACGTCAAGACCAGTGTATTCCATTCATTTTCCTCTTCCCTTAGACTTGAACATTTCCTCTTTTATTTCCTTTGTAAGTTTGTTTTAAAAACGTCTTTTAGAGTTCCCTTTGCGCGTGAATTGTATTCCCAAGAATTATGAAAAGAAGGCGTGGTACACACCTGTGTAAACAACTTGAGCATCTCCATCACACCTTGTCCGACCCCAGCGCACGTAACTGACTCCAGACAGCCCCTGGCCTTCTTTTCCCTTTTGTCCTTGAGTTCCAGGATCTCCTGCACATTATTAGAAAATCTTCTCAGTAACAGAATAAAATGGAAATATAGCTCTTTACACTGAAATTATCGTCATCTGTTTTATTAAGATTTAAAAAATATTTACAGTACCTTTTGGTCCCGGTGGGCCTTGTGTTCCGCCTTTATTACCACTAAAACCTGAGGGATAAAATAGTTTAGCCGTGAGGATGCAACTTCAAACGAGAAGAGAAGAAAGAAATTGCTCCTCTATGGTGGAAAATTTAATTGACGATCCAAAATATAAAAAACTATCATGTCGCAGCCTGAAAACAACACCAACTCCATGCTGTTCTTAATTATTAATTATTAATGTAATCGTTTTACTATTTTAATACTCCTGGGACCACAGTAATTGGCTATCGCTGTTGTGGTTGCCTGCCCGTTATTGTTATTGTATTTTACCCATGTTCTATACTGTATGTATTGTTGGCAAAACTAATAAAATAAAATAAATAAAATAAAATAAAATATTCCCAGTTCCTTTCTATCTAAGCCATAGCTTTAACTACAGTGACATAACATGTGGGTAAAGACTTGACCACAACTTATGTCGGAAAATGATTATAATAATTTTAAGTCCTGTAAGAAAAAATATTGTGGTTTTGTATTTCTCCAACCTGGTACTCCTGGTGTCCCTGGTTGCCCTGGTGTCCCTGGTGGTCCAGGAGGGCCCGCGGGACCATCCCTGCCGTCCCGACCATCTCGTCCTGTGATAAATAAACATCATTGTAATTAGACATTTATTTTCATAAAAGAAATAATAGCTTGTACGTGTTAACCAGTGATATCAATAACTCCGTGTTTAGACACAGGCTTATTTTAAAGTCTTAACTTTCTTACCACCAGGGATTGACCTTTTATTATAAGTAATATGTTTCTACACGTTACATGGTAAGGAAAGTTGTTTAACTATGGGTGTTGTTTCTTTACCGTCGCATCGCAGATTACCTCGCAGTACTTCCGGTGTCCGAAACAAGTCCCTGGGAGAAGACTTGTTTTCCTTGATTGCCCTGCAAAAATTGCAAACCATCTTTAAATTCCAAATGTGATGTACCGTTTACGGACCGTAATCTGGTTATTGGCTTAATCAGAAAATGCCCGAATTTGTTATCTTTGGATAGAATCTTGAAACAACGCAGGTGATCTGTTACATTTTTTCGTTATTATCAGAAGATAAACGTCTCCTGAACACAACAAGGCCAGTTTAAAACTTACTTATTCCAATCAATCAGTGTCGCCATCACTAGTTACCTTTACAACATTTTGTGGTTTCCGTCATCTCATGACAACGACAACTTTGACATACAAAGTGATCTCACCTGAATTCTAGAATTTTCAATCTTTTCTCGAGACTCTCTAGACTCAAGGCCAACGATCTCCTTTTCCTTATAAGCAAAGTTTTAACATGAGCCCTTTCATCTGTGTCACTCTGCATTCGACTTGTGGCACAGAACTTCTTCATTGTCTCATCCGTGACCATCTTCTCTTCGATCGAAGCTAATCTCTGTTTCATTTGAACGTGCTCCAAAACTAAGAAAGCCAAGCACGAGAAAACGAAGACGACCACTGCCGCGCAAAATATGAATCGGACGAACTTTGAAAAGCTATCCTCTCCCTTGAGTTGCTTTCTTTCTTGATCCATGGCATTCGCTCATAGAAGGAAAGAAATGAGGCCAGAGAAGTTGAGCAAAAATTTAGTACTTCAAACTTGTTCTGTCAACAAACTATGGACTTTGTTTCATCCCAATTTATCGGGAGATAACCCTGTATACAGAGATCACCACTGACACAGGAAGATGGACTTTAATCAGTCATCCTAAGAGAAGTACTACTAGTCCTCACGATCCTACTAGAGCATTCATTTTCTAACAATGATTAAAATCTGACTTCTCCTTCCTAAATCATGGCATTTGAGTGATAGATGACCAAACAATGAGGATATGCAGATAACCATCCAATATCCAATGAATGGGTCCTATCCTGGGGCTGCAGAAAATTCTCCGTTTCCTTTTGAACTTTTCCTTTACCAATTTATTTCAGAAGCAAAAGGAAAAGTTATAATTGAGTCTGAAAATTTAAGCTGGCTGGATTTTCGAATTCCTCTAGCCCTTTCAAGTTGAGATATACTTCATGGCAGTGGTTTAGGTTTTAGAACAGCCCATTTTCGATTTTTTACAACCGATGAGGGAGGTGGGAAGGAATTCCTGGCAGCTTTCTTGAACCTCTTGATTTACATCAATAAGGGAAGGTACGTTTTCTCTTGGGAGGGGGGGGAGGGGTCGGGGCCTCAGAGGGGTGGGTCATCAGTGAAAGTGAGCACCAAAAGGGGAGGGTCATACCTCTTTGTAGGCTATTCAAAGGGAAGGGTCACACACCTTTCCCATAATTTTTTAACGAGGATTTTTGTGATGTTGCTTTCCATTTTTCTTACAGATTTAGTTTTTCTTTTCATCTACTTTGATTTAATTTTGTGTTTTACTATCGGTTCTTGGTTACATTTCTACATGTATATTATGCCACGGCACATAGTTTTCTCGGAGGAATTGTGTCCTTTTCCGTCCGTATCAAGACGTACTAGACTCAGGTATCGTTCCTTCAGCTTCTTGCTCCTGTTGACTATCCACTGCCTAATCTCCAGAATCATTTAGTTCTGAAGATTTACTACTAGATCCAACAATCCGCTTTACCTTGTCACAGCCACTGTTAGACTCTGAATTTGAGCCAGAGGCTGGCTGAATGTTGTTCCGACTGTCCTGCACCGTAGAAGTCAAAATCTTACTGCCAATATGTGCCTTCACCACCCTCACTTTCTCATCTTTCTTTCCTTTCAATGCAATATTGTGATGATTAATATAAAGTTCAAGTTCACCTACTCAAAGGGATGACAACTGGTTTCTGTGATAGTCAGAAACCAATTGTTAGGGATGACAACTGATTTCTGTCATTATCTGTTCGCCGCTTATCTTTTCTTATTTCAATGTCAGTTAGATGCTCAATATAATCTGCAACAAGCTTTTCTGAAACAATATATTTTTCAGAAAACTCTTTGATTGCCCTTTTATTCCCTGCTTTAAGCTAACCCTCTTGAAACATCTATTTTATTTGAGTTCGAGGCTGATAATCATCAGGTTTGCGGCCACTCGTAGGTGTTTTCGCACTTGGTAGGTGGTGAAAGTCGGGAAGTTTGCTGTAATCGGGATAGGGTCGTGCAGTTGGTTTAGCTGGAGAAGGACTTACGTAGTCTCAAAGTTTATACTTCCATATTCAAACTTCAGCTGTAAAACGTAAATATCCCGCACTGATTGTTCGCATTTTCATGTTTACAGCTCGCACACATTCAATATCGAGATATATTTATATTCAAATATTTAGCGTTCACAAGCGAAATGTTCTGAGGTTTCTACCACATGGAACATACCATGTAGTAGTGAGGGGAGGG